AGTTTTTCGCTTGGGCATTAGAAAAAAATTCTTAGGAGTATGCTTTTACAATATAAAGTGAAAGTTTATTTTTTTTTTAAAAAAAAAAGTAATGCCTATAGAATTTTTTTTTTATCATTAAAAAAGTAAGAAAGGAATTTCTTTTTTTATTTGATTATCATTTTTTTAGATCTAAAATCTATATATAGGGGGGGAAAGAATCGGGCCATGATCATAAATTGCCGGATAACACCAATACTGGGCAAATTGTTGAATAACGCAAATTGTTGAATAACGGTAATTTGGATCAAACGGGCAAATGATTGGCTGACACGTGCCGCTGCGCGGCACGTGTCAGCCAATCATTTGCCCGTTTGATCCAAATTACCGTTATTCAACAATTTTTGCCCAGTATTGTATACGTAATGGTTCTATATAATTAATAATTCAAGAGCAGTTGAATTTGAAGTCATATGACTTATTATTTCGGATGCCAAAATTAAATATTAATAAACACAAAGTCTAATAGAATATAAGGTTTTTAAGAGACCTCTAATGAATAGTAGCATTACATGTAAAAAATAAATCAATAACGATTCTAGTGCTTTTTCCTTAGCAACACGCTACTTATTTGTCCATTATAATCTTGCAAAAATTGCTTTTAAGTATTTTCGTAAATGTTCATCGTCAGCATATTGTAAAATCGTGTTATATCTAAATATAATATTTGCATTAGATAGATTTCTTGTTTAATGTAATTAAACTTGATACCTTAAAACTGTAAATTTTTTTTTGCTTACCTGTAGATATTTGGATGGTAACCGACTCTTAAGATTTTTGCTACATAATATAGAAATTTAATAGTATGCCGGATAATAATTCGAGTTTTAATGTAACAAATACCTTATCATTTAGGCTCAAATTTATTGCTATTCAACTTGTTATGATGCTAATATTACTTACGAAGTTAACTAGAGAATATCAGTTTTGACTTAACATGCAACACGAAAGAAAAAAATATTTGATCTGTTTTTTGATTGAAGTTTCACATATAAATAATCATTTTTCTTGCAACCCTTAACTCTTTCATTTCAACCTATACTAATATATTTTCAAATTTCTCAACTAGTCCTAGTGCTTCGAATATCCTGTTCACCCTAAATATCTTAACTGAATAAAGTAGTTAAGTAAGCGATTAGAGTAGTTTGTATATATAAGAATATTTCCATAATTTTGCCTTACCATAATTTACGCTCACTTAATGTGAGTTGATAAATATATTACTGCTCAAAAAATCAAAAAAAAGCACATAATATTTACTAGATTAATAGTAAGAATAAGTCATAATTAAAAATAAACAGTAACGAAAATTAAGATTACCTATAATACTGTACTCGTATATTTTGCAGTTAGAAACTAACAACTAGTAGACTTTACTTATATTGATATCGCTTAATTTTGAATTTAGAAAATATAAGCAGATGATATTTATTTGGTGATACTATTGCTTGCACAACTTTACCATAGAACAGGTAAACTAAGGCTAATCTATAAAAATAGTCTAGACTACTACTGTACTTTAACCACAAAAAAGAAGAAAAAAAATCAATTAGCGAATTAAAAAAAATTATAATAGTTGTTAAAAGATAAAACCAGTATATTACTGCCAATTTATTATGAATTTCCTTGTTGTAAAACACCTAGTGTGCTAAAATTTAACTACTTTTCTTTTCACATCTTGCACTATTATGACCCGTAAGACCACAAGTACGACAAGTATACGGCTGACGGCTTGCTTTCTCTATTGCACTCTTGTATCATTTATTCGCAGATCTGCCCTTATGTTTTGTAACTGGAGGATTGGCGATTTCTAAATTTTTTTTTGCATTGTTGCCACTATCAGGTTCATTCGTTTCATCTTCGTTGTTACTTGCGAGTAACCGTTTTTTCTGATCAATAAATGTTTTTAGCCATTGTGACATTTCATTGTCATTACATTCAACTACAAGCTGCGTAGCCTGTTGTGCAAGGCCCCACAATTTACCATATTTGGAGCGCCGAACTGCTGCACATCAATTTTTCATTGTTACTGTGCATGGTACTGTAAGTGATTGAGAAACTATCTGCACAATTTTGTTCTGCTGAATACGAACAGCATGCTCATTTACAAAGATCACATTAAGGTTGTTAGTCATTTCTTTCTTGCTATCACAATACCAACGTGATGCTATCATTTTGATGTGAAATCCAGCTACATGTGATACCAACATCACCTGAAAGTAATGACGGCATAAAATATCTCGCAAAACATTAGACATGCAGGTGCATAAATAAGACACAGGATCCATAACAATTATAAAATGTTTTCGTCGATTGTTTCCTGGACGTTTGTCAGTAAGCAGCCAAATTTCTTGAATATTTTCTTGATCGACTTCTGTTATTAGAGATTTAAGTAACGCTTGCCTCGCATCGTAAACATCTTCGATAAATTTATCATCCACATTTTCATCCTAATAATAAGCACATTCGGTAGTTAGTAACTATTAAACATAATTTTGAATTTTGTTCTTATCATATAATAAAGATATAACATCTTAAGACCAGAACTTAAAAACTAAAATGCTTTATAATTTCTCGCTTAAACAATGGGAATCTCTATAGCCTTATTTATTAAAACAATTACATAACGATAACAATTTTGTTATAAATATATTAATGCGACCAATTAACCAGAAACATTAATTAAAAAACAATAAATAAACGAAATACCCGGAGTACCATCTTATAAACGAATACCAGTACTAACCTCATTATCATTATCTGAATGTATCATTGTTAAATCAACTAGTGTTGCATCATAATATAGACACTGTGCCATTTCAGTACGCTCTGCAGAAATAATTTGCGGCGTTAAGAATTCTGAAATTTTTTGATCAACAAGAGGAAATATTTCGGTTCCAACAGAGGTAACTCCGATACAAGAAGAAAGAGTTTGATACTCAAAAAAATGGTTCCATTCAGCCTCTTTCTCAAGTCTGGAATCTAATGCCTTAACCAAGTCACATAAACTACTTTTTACTATATAGTACTTGCTTAATGATGTTGTTGTATCCTTCAACACGTGAAGTTGTTTGAATTCCTGCAGTAAAGACCTGAGATGTAAAAGCACATGCCCACGAATTACGGCTAGAATAAAGAACTCGATTTAAATAGGCTACAGCAGGTGGATATTTTTGTAATATGTTTTGCCATCTTGTTTCGAATAACTTTTCATCCAAAGTATTGCGGCAGTGATAGAACTCTTTAATAAAGTTAATATATATACTACCTAATACTGCCTTAAGATTCTTTGGTAAATTTTGATTGATATGATAAATACAATATAAAGATTTAGTAGTTTCATACACTTGCCGAAATGCACTATCCATTGCTGGATCTGCGTCTGTAATAAATACTAGTGGCTTTGTACCAGTTGCTTTTTTGGTGCATTGAAGAATCTACTTATATGAATCAACATTTTCGTCAGATACTAATGCCTGTGCTACTAAACGGGACCTGGTGTTATTGTTAACAATAAGGAACAAACTAAGTGGCATTTAATATTTATTTGTTTTAGCCGTGTTATTATTGAGAACAATGTTATGATACTCAAGCTAAAGAGATACTTGAGCAGGGGTCATCCAAAAAAGTCTAATAAGACGATTATCAGCATCTAACTCAAATTCGACTATCCAACCCAATTCATTAGATTGCTTGTTATTAAGAAATAAAAAAAGACTCGAAGCATCTGTAACTTCAAGATCTTGTGATTTGGTTTTAAAGTGTTTAATAGCATTCGCAAGGTCTCTGTCTAAAAAAGTTATATCTGGATATTTAGCTTTTAATAATTGACGTTGAATGGTAATTGAAAGATTTCCATTTTTGGTGTAGAATTCAATTTCTTTCATAGCATCTTTTCCAATTGATCGGAATTTAGAGCTATATTTGCACGTTGTTGAGTGGAGCTCATGATTGTGAATATTAACGAATGTTGCAACTGTGATACAAGTAGCGCCCTTAGGAAGGCTTAGATTTATATGCCATTCACAACATTGACGTTTAGACTGTTGTTCATGGTGAGTATTAATATCAACACTCTTTTTTGGACTATATGTCCCTCTAAATTCACATCCAAAAGCCCTATGTTTTATTATACCATTGTTATTACATTCAACCCTAATTTTAATAACTGCAAATCCAAATTGTCGGCCATATGCTTCAAAAAAGGAATCTACATCATTCCAATTTTGAAATGTGTAACCAACATTTAATAATAAAAAATCGTAGGATTCATCTAAAAAATAGTGATTTTAGAATATGTAATTTATACTTGCATATTCCAATTTTTTGGTTCAAATTCATAATACGTACGTAGAAAACTAGCTTAAACTGATCTTTTATTATTAATTTTTACCAAAAAATTGAACCAATCTTATAATACAAAACATAATCTAAATTCTATACTTGCCGTTATCAATGTCACTATTATTAGCAGAATCATCAACTTCCATATTAGTACTTTCGACTTCAAAATTAATACTTTCGCTTTCAACCCTAATATCTTCAATAATAATATCTTTACTTCCAACACCAATATAATCGTTACTAGTTATATTAGTTACTTTATTTCTAACTTGAAAGCTTTAATACACTATTAAAAAACTATCGTGTAATATCAAATATAAAGTTTGAGTATATTTGTAGATTGAGGTTTAAAATTTTTTTTTTCGTATTTACTTCATTAATAACTTTGCTGCGCCTACATCACAACAAATATCATCATAATGATTGATTTTTGCACACTCTTGTGTATATACATACGTTACAGTATGTATGTTCCAAGATTTAATATTACACGACACCAATACCAAATTTTAAGAACCATTACCAGAGTTACAGTATATATTACACAGTACAATGTAAATCTCATTACACAATGTATTGTACTATAACCCCCGTGACAAAAAATTTTATTACGGGGTGCAACAAGAACATTTTTCCTCTTTTATATAGTAAATTATATATATTTATTTCTAAAATTGCTAATAACTTTTGATAGATTAATCTATTTTGAATAATTTAATTATCAGAATGTTTGTCTTGATGATATGATTCTAACAAACCTAAAATCATTAAAATCTAATTACAGAATCCTGAGATAATTTAAATTTTATATTATTTTAATAGTATTTTTAGAAATATTTTTAATATTAATCTATAATCTATTTTAAATAATTTAATTACTATAATTTAAATTATCTTAAAATCCTGTGATTAGATTTTAATGATTTTGAGCTTGTTAGAATCACCTCATCAAGATGAACATTTTGGTAGTTAAATTATTCAAAACAGATAAATAGATCAAAACATATCGGCAAATATTCAAATTTACTATATAAAAACTAGGTTTTGTTAAAAATTCTAAACAAAAAAATATTTTTTATAAAATTTTGGAGAAAACTTAATATTATAAAAACTCAGATATGTAATTGCATATAGTTAAAATATTTTTAAAAAATATTTAATAAGGTATTTAATTTTTTAAATTAGTGGTTATTTGCTTTCAAAAACTGTCACAATGTAGTATAATGTACTACCAGTAGTACGGCGTGCTGCTATCCATTAATAAATAGAAATAAAGAAATTCACTTATAACATTAATGACAATGTGAAAAAAATATTGGATGATGAGAGATATCAATTATTATAAATTCTATATAATAAATTTGAAAATATTAAAGAAATTGGGAAGGGAAGATTTGCAACTGTTTATCACACTAAATATCTAATTGATTTTTATAATAAATATTCGTTCACAATTAAAAAAATTCATGATCAAGATTTTTGAAGAGGTAAATTATTGAGTTTTGTTTAATAATTGAATTTATAATTAATCTTTTTTTTAAAAAAAAAAGTTAAAGTGTTTTGTGAGATCGGATATAAAAATCTATCATTCTTAAAATGCTATGGACTATCGAGAGATAATTCAGGCAATTATATTCTTATTTTGAAATATGCAAAAAAAGGTTCTTTACGTAATAATCTTTACAAAATATTGCAAATGAAATGGGAAGACAAATTAAATTTATTAAGCTGCATAATATCTGATCTTGAAGCAATTTATTCACAAGAATTAGAACATCGAGATCTTCATAGTGGAAACATTTTGCAAGACGAACTGAATAATGCGTATATTACAGATTTGGGACTATCCAATACAATAAAAGAAACGTGCGGAGTTCTGCCTTATATTGCACCAGAGATTTTACAAAAAATCCATATACTCAAGCAGTTGATATTTATGCTTTAGGTATCATTATGACAGATATATCAACTGGAAGAAAAGCTTTTAATGGTTATAATTTTGACAGAGAATATGTTATAGAAATTTGCCACGGATTATAACCAAAATTTACATATGGTATTCCTAATTGTTTTATTGAATTAGCTAAGTGATGCATGGATTCAAATCCGAAAAAATGACTCAGTATCCGATATGTTAATGCTTTGGTTATCACCTGGATTGAAGAATTAGAAAACTTTGATGATGAAAATAACATAAAAAAACAATTTTTAGAGGCTGATAAAATTAAACCTAATATTGAATCACCAAAACATCTAAATCATATCTATATTAGCAAACCTATCAATACATGAGAAATATCAGTCAGAACAGGACTGTATGAAATTTCTAATTTATAAATTGATCGTTTTTTTTTTTTGGATATTTTTGGATATTTGTTGAATAATTGAATAATTTTGTCAAAAAGAAAAATTATTTGACACATCGGGATTAATAATTGCTTCAAACTGATTAACTAATAGCTATTTAGTTTTATGATTACGTTGTTAAGAGTAATCCTATCTATTCAGTTTTGTTTGTCCAGATTTAGTCAACTTTGGACCATAATTTAGTTTCTTTTTATTTGCATTGACTCAAACTGAAATAATGATTATTTTGTCAAAAATTCAAAAATTAAATTATTTTGCTACCACTAAATTATTAAAATATAAACCAAATTAGTTAATAAAAAATTTTTATAATTTTTTTCAAACTTAAATCAACTTATAGCTACTTTTTATAGTAATGATTTGCAATTAAAAGCTTATAAGAACAAATTATATTTTTATAAAATAAATAATAATAATTTTTAATAATAATAAAATCTGAATATTTTTTTATATAATAAAACTTTTAAATTATAAAATTTATTAATAATTTATAATATATGAGATTTTAAAAAGTGTACTATAGGTAGTACATTAAAAATTTTAAAAATAAGCCTTGATTAAAAGAGCTATTTTTTAATAAATTATTTATTAATTTTAAAATAAATTTAATAAAAATAAACTAGAATATTAAATAGATATTTTTGTTAAAAATTACTTAAATTTATAATTTTTTGGATTTTTTATGAGTTTTTAAAATTGTACTACCGGTAGTAAAAGGGCGTGCTGCTATCCATTAATAATAAATCGATAAATGCGAATTTTAAAAATAAAATAAAACAACCCTAATAATAAGTACCTTGAAATTTGGGGTTTTCCCTGTTAATTATAAGATTTAAATATTTAGTCTCTTACTGTATATAAAATATTATTTAAAAAAGAAGAACTTACATTCGAAACCAATGCTCGGCTTCTTTTAAATCTTTTTTTGTACCAATACCATTTCGATAACAATATCCAACATTTTTTATTCCGTCAACATCTCCCAGTTTGCTAGACCTTAAATAAAATTCAAAAGCTTCATTTAAATCTTTTTTAACCCCAATTTCATTCTGACAACATTGTCCAAGGTTACAAATCGCATTAATATTCCCCATTTCAGCAGCTTTTTAATAATAATAAAATGCCATATTTTCGTCTTTTTTAACCCCTTCTCCAAATCGATAGCTATTTGCAACATTGTTCATTCCACCAATATGTCCCATGTCGGCAGATTTTTGATAATAAATGAATGCATTATGTTCATCTTTTTCAACCCCAATTTCATTCATATAACAATATCCAACTTTATATGCTCCATTGGCGTTTCCCAACTTAGCAGATTTTTGATAATAAATGAATGCCTTGTGTTCATCCTTTTCAACTCCAAATCCATTGTTACACCTGGAATCGACCTCTTATAACGATTCCGGGAACCATAGGTTAGTCTATCACAGACTATTAAATTCGTGATTTGGAGAAACTAAAGAAATGTCGTATGAACGACTTAGCAAAGAGGTTTGTGAAGGCTTTATCGAAAGAGGCTAACAACCAAACGTATATGAAGATACGAAGGGTTGTAAAGGTAGCAATTACGATACCATGAGTCACACGTGGATACTTCTATGAATAAAATATCACGAGTCTCACGTGACAACTTCTGTAACAAAGGGCAACTATATGAAGATAGTTACAAGGGGTTGGAGAATTCGAATCTTCTTAACAAGAAAGGTATACATAAAAATATATTGGGAATAGGGGATCGAAGTCTGTAGAGCTACTCTGTAGGCAGAATCCGTGGCCTTTAAATATCTAACGCGACTACATATTTATTTATAGTATACGAAATTAAAGGCTATCTATCAATCGATCTATCAATAATCATTCTTTTTAACTCCAATTCCTTCACGGATTTCATCATACTTTCACCTGCTTACACATCCTAATAATATCTTTTGAATATAATAAGGCCAGTTCCATATAGTGATCGCCAGTGCAGCCGTAGCTATTAGGCTCTTTCGGGGCTTCTTTTGATGTCGCGACATGCGCTATGACTAATCTTCACACCATCAGTATAGGGACCGTTATAGCAACTAATGGGGACTATGTATGATAATACAATTAGGGTGTCAATATGAGTGTTAGTAGGGTGATTGACCTTCGATCACTAAGGATCATCGGTTTGGGGTTCAGGACGATCATTGCTGCGGTGTCCATCGATATACTAGTCAAGTTCTTCTTCGAGTTGTTGATACTAGTTGATCTCACGGATAAAGGTCACATTATCCCGATATTCCATTGGTCACATGTATCAGGTTCGTGGGAGTACTGCGGACTAATTTCAACGTAACACCATCAAGATAACAATTTCCAGCATTATATGCTCCACTAGCGTCACCTATCTCAGCAGATTTTTGAAAATAAATGAATGCTTTATGTTCATCTTTTTCAACTCCGATTCCTTTTTCATAACAATATCCAACCTGATATACTCCTTCAGCATTACCCATATCGGCAGATTTTTGATAATAAATTAATGCCCTATGTTCATCCTTTCAACTCCAATTCCATTAAAATAAAAACATCCAACATTATATGTTCCATTAGCGTTACCCATCTCTGCAGATTTTTGATAATAAATGAATGCCTTATTTTCATCCTTTCCAACTCCAATTCCATTAAGATAACAATATCCAGAATTATATGCTCCACTAGCGTCACCCATCTCTGCAGATTTTTGAAAATAAATGAATGCTTTATGTTCATCTTTTTCAACTCCAATTCCTTTTTCATAATAATACCAACCTGATATATTCCTTCAGCATTACCCATATCAGCAGATTTTTGATAATAAATGAATGCTTTATGTTCATTTTTTTCAACTCCAATTCCTTTTTCATAACAATACCCAACATGATACGTTCCACTAACGTGCCCCATATATGCAGATTTTTGATAATAAACGAAAGCTTTATGTTCATTCTTTTTAACTTCAATTCCATCTTTATAATAATGTCCAACTTTATGTGCCCCGTTAGCATGCACCTCTGCGGATTTTTGGTAATAAATGAATGCCATATATGTACTCTTTTTAACTCCAATTCCATTTTCATAACAATATCCAACATAATATGTTCCACTAATTTGCCCCATCTCTGCAGATCTTAGATAATAAATGAATGCTTTAGTTTCATCCTTTTCAACACCAATTCCTTCTTCATAACAATATCCCACATTAAATGCTCCATTAGCATGCCTCATATCTGCTGATTTTTTGTAATAAATGAATGCTTTATGTTCATCCTTCTCAACACCAACTCCATTTCGGTAACATTGTCCAACATTATATATTCCATCAACGAATCCCATCTTAGCAGACTTTTGATAATAATCGAATGCTTTATGTTCGTTCTTTACAACTCCAATTCCTTTATCATAACAATATCCTAAATTATTTATTCATTTTTTTCAACACCTATTCCATATAAATAATCGTATTCGTCATGAAAATCTAAATTTGTTGATTTTTTATGATGAATCGGATTAAAATAATTCATTTAACTTTTTAAATAGAGAGAAAACAAAAATCTGAACGAAAGCAGTTTGAACTATTTAAAAGCTAGTATACTGCTGTTTTAAAAGGTCTGCGTCACAACGATAAAAAAAGTACGTTCGCTAAGTCTAAACTCGCTTATTTTCTCAAAAATTTGCACTTTAGTGTTATAACAAACAGTTTTGTTCATTGTTTGGAATGCAACAAGTCAGAATTTATAAAAAAGACGTGTATATGTCGCATGTGCGGACAGAGTTTAAAATAGCCCATAAGAAGACATTCATATGATTGGTTAATTTTTATATGTGATAATTAATCAATCAAATCAACGAATTTTTAAAGCGGACAAAACTTTATACCGATTTTTTGTTAGTGAAACGTTCATCGGGAAATTTTTTTAATTCAGATCTACGCAATTTATATTATATAAATAATTTGCAAATTTGCATCAATCTTCAAACCTGGTGGCTATTTTCGCAGAAAATAAATACAATTCTGCATAGAATTTTGTTTTTTAAAAATTTTTGCAGATTTGCACTAAAAATTTTTCCGATGCTGTAAAAATCTGTGTTTTCACAGAATATTGCAGATCTGAATACAGTACCAGACAGCATAAGACATCCACTCTAATTTTTGATGTCTGTATAATCGATTCTGACTGGCTAATTTTGATGTAATTGATTCTAATTGGTTAATTAAACATATATATATTCTTTTTTTTATATTAAACGCCAATTTTTCAAATCATTCTAAATTTTAACTCTTATTAACTCCTTTAAACCAAAAAATAATAAAAAATCCTTCGACAGAAATGTAGCTTAGCTAAAAATTTATCAATTTGTCGAAGGGTTTTTTGATTTAACTTGTTTTAAAAAAGTTATAATGATTTAAAGTTTTTACTAATAAAAAATGGATGCGTTTTGCTGTCCGGTACTGTAGAAAAAATTTTCCCGATGTTACGTTCTTAAAAATACTTTAAACCGTATAAATAAATTACTCGGAAATTGATTATATCAGCCAATCATATGAAAGCTTTATGCACAAGATGCGCACTGTGCAAGATTTTTTGTGTAAATGTGCATTAAAAATTTTTTTAAAAAAAAGAAAGAAAAAACTATATTTGTACAGGTATAAAAATTTTTTATCTGCAAATGTGCAAGTAATTTTTTTTTTTGTACTTTAAACAGTGGTGCGGATAATGGAACGATGCTTACCCATACATTGATAGACCTCCACTATGCCACAAAGCTAGTCACATTTCACACATGCACAACTGATATAGTAAACTTGGCGTCCGGAAAATGTGTGCCAGGTTTGTGTGCCATAGTAGCTGAATAGATATTGGTTTCAGAAGATCTAGATCAGTTGACAATGTAGTTTTGGCATTTTGTAAATAAATTCAGAATAAGTTGACAATTTTGTTTGGCAACACGTGCATACGTGTATAGGTTAATTTATAGCTGTTTTCAAAAGGCGTAACCAGGTGCAAACCACTATATCATGGGAAAACCACATGATTTTCCTAATTTCCTTGATTTCCTTGATTCCGTGAATAAGGGAAGTCAAAGGGAAATCGAGGAATTCAAGGAATTCGTGTGAATTTCCCATGACATAATGGTTTACACCTGGTTACGCCTTTTTGAAAATAGCTGTAATTCGTTGTAGCAGATACGACGTGAATACAGTAGGTGAAATTAATTCATTATAGGTTTAATCGCTAGCTAGTATTAAGCATTTTGAAGAGTTTATAAGAAACGATTTTCATTTAACCGTAGTTAATGGTCAAGCTGTTAATTTTTCCATTTAAATCAAAAACAATTAATGAACAATATCAAATTAAATGTTTTTACGTAATACATAAAAAATTTTATGTATCATGTTAGTATCTAGAGTTTTAAATTTGAAACTATGACAATCAAAGAACCGAATACATTTTCCGGATGCGTAAACTTGATCCCAAACTTTAATTCAAAGTAAATTGCTTAGATTCGGAAGTCGAGTTTGCGTTACCATATTTCATGTCTAATAAGTTCATTATACACATCAATTTGTGAGAACAATAGTTACGATAAAGCTTTTTGAAACATTTTAGGTTTGTTTTTGTTTTGTATCCAAATATTTCGGTCATCCTTTAGTAAGCGTATTTTATTAGCATTTATCGGTGTGTAACAGTAATTAGTGACGGCAAAAGTATATATTATGTTTTTTTAAAAAAAATTGGCATAAATACATGAGTATATCATTTAACATTTTAAATTTTATATCAATTCTCAAATTATGAATGGACCTCCGAAAACATCATACATAAAATATTCTAAACGTGCTTTTTTCACTTATTCATCGAAAGAGGTTAGCACTTTTCAACATGGTTAGTGACATCTAACAGTTTATGTGAATACCTTAATTATTAAAATGTAATCATTTCTTGATTATTATTTACTTTTGAAAGGTTATCTTGGTATTGGTCCATCTTACATAACCGGAAATTTTCATCTTTGTTATCCTACAACTGAACCTTTACATTTAAAGAGAATTGAAATTTCTTTTGTTGGCCAAGAATCTGCTTTGATTGAAAGTACATATTCAATTCGATCTCATAGAAAATTTAGTCGAGGTTTCTGTCAATATACCTATAATGCTTGGGAAATTTTGGAATCTTAGCCTACCTCAAACTTGACTTTACCATTTAATTTTAAACTCGACGATGATCTTCCAGGCTCATTCGAAGTCGACGGCACCCTTTATGCTAGTATAAGTTACACTCTAAAAGCAACCATAATATCCAATAAGAATGTTGAAAAAATTGTTTCAGTAAAATGTCATATTAATCGATGGTGTTTGCCGATGGAAGCTTTGGAACGGCCAATTGTGATGAAGAATCCTGACCATGATAAAACAAAAGAATATAAAGTTGGTGATATTATAATAAATTGCGAGTTAAAAAAATTCTTGTATTTATCTTATTTTTTTTTTTATTGTTTAAACAGCAAAATTCTTCTGATGTTAATTGTTTTAAATTTCAATTAGGTGGTGTATGGGAGATAAAATTTCAATGTTTATAAACTTAACTTCCTCAAAGCAAAACATCAAAGAAGTAAATATTAAAGAAGTAAATATTAAAGAAGTAAATATTAAAGAAATAAGACTTAATCTACTCGAATTACAATATGTTATAAAGAATAATGAAATTGTAACTGGTCATAAGCTCGAAACTACTAATGTTATAATTGATAAGAAGAAGCTTTCTAATTTGCCGCATCCTTCAGGAAACAAATACTCTTTTGAAGTTGGAATGCAAATACCCTCAAATAATGATACTAAATTTACACCTGCAAACATTGGTACAATAAGAATGCTCCAACATATCAAGGTAGTGCATCGTTTGAAAGCACATATTAAATTTGATAGTGAACATTTAGTTTTTCAAGGTGATATTGGAATCATAAATAGTTTAACCTCAAAGCAAATTAAAGAAGGTATGGCTAAGGGTTATATTTATTATTGAATTTTTAGTATTCGATTACTGTATAAGATGTATTTTTTGGATCAAATGAAATATACTATAGATTAATACCTGATACTGTAAATTTAGGCTATATTGCATTTTTGTCCCTCATCGAGGGGTGTTACAAATGAAAAACAAATGAAAAACAAGTATGGGTTATCTGTCCCTTCCGCTAAATGCCTAATGTGCAACACTAATAATACAGACTTCGAAAGAATCGTATGAAAAAAGTCTAAGCTACTGTCTACTACGCATGCTAATGTAGAGGTAGTTTTAGGCGGGCGGGGCAAAAAAAACCAGCATCCTACTGGAAAAAACCCCACCGCAACCAAACTCTGTGACTGTCGTTCCGACAGGCCACTTAATATAAACTCAAAAAATGACTATCATCTCAACAGACCGTAAAAAACTCGAACTGACTGTCAACCTGACAAGCAATGATTTCCTTAAACAATGATAACCCTTTCGATAGGGTAACCTCCAAAAAATGCTCGCTAGGGAGGGCAAGGTGGGGGCGAAAAAACCAGACAAAGTCGGGTTAGCAGAAAAAACAGAAATTACCTTTCCTGGGAAAAAACCATTCCCCTTAAATACTACTAACAATTACTAATCTCAAATACCACGTCATTACGTTATAAAATCAATGCATCAAACAATATCGAAATCATACGATCATGCATCACAATCACATAATCACAATCCGTGACCAATTCGTGACAAAATGCTGCTCTGATACTTTCATATCGGGCAACTAATTTTGTCCCTCATCGAGGGGTGTTACAAATGAAAAACAAATGAAAAACAAGTATGGGTATTGCAGAGAATCGTCAGAATAAGGCATGGTTCTAAAATACGTTATCTACGAACTTCACTTTTAACTAGACAAAGCCCATTAGCCTAGAGGCTCCCAGCTCAGTAGTACAAACTGCTTTCATATACAGCTGTACTGCTCCCGATGACTAGCCACCAATTGACTGGATTTGCTCCATCGTCATACCCCCTTTCATGGCTGCAGTTGTGCCACCAATCCTCAAACTATGTACTGTATACCTTCCATGCAAGCCAGCATTTTTCACAAAATGCTTTACAATTGCTGATATGGCTGCAACTGACAACCTTCCCCCCCTTTTGCTAAGAACAAAGGCTTCTCTGGAGATGTGGCCGGTCTCAGCCTTAAATAACATTTCAATAACTTTATTGGACATGCCTCGCCTACTGAACCTTCCACTGGTATAAACTTGCTCTATCCCAACTGGTCCGTTTTTGACTTCACAATTCTAATCCACAACTTCCCATCTTTTTCAACAACATTTGATCTTTTCAAATTGCACAATTCGCTCAGCCTTCGCATAACTCTCAAACCCAATGCGACTAAAGCCAAATCCCGGGCCCAAAAAACTCTACCAATTCCAGGTGGTGGGCAAGTCATATAACTTTTAACTACTGAGACTGATAAAGGGTCCCTTGGCCACTTGGCCTCTGTCTTTTCCTAGGCCATCGTACTTCTAATACCTTCAACAACGAAGCGAACCAAATTGCTCTTTGTAGAGTCCTCAAAACCCCTTACCTTATGCTCTCTAGCTACTGCTGCTAGATACATAGCGATCTCTGCTGTCTTTTTCGACAGCTCCAGCCAAGCAAGAAAAGCTACCAATAACTCGCTTGATGCTGGATACGGGGGCACCCCCAACCCAACAAGCGAAACATTAAACACACCCTGTGCCTTAGCTAAACGCCTTCTATATTCCTCACTAATCGATTTATTCTTCAAATATGCTGCTCTTTTTAACAGTTCTCCGACCATTCTAAAAGAACTGCCTTCAAAACCTATTAGCTGTTCCTGCACGGCTCCAGGTTCCCTGACGGCACTGGGTGGACAATTAGGCTCAGTGCTGGTAATTCAATTTTTCTTCTCGCCGAATTTACTATTAGAGGCCACTATGAGGCTGAGACCCATATTGGAACTATAATTACCAACCATGCCCACATTCCCTTGCGTGACATAACGCTCTGTGAATTAAACAAAAGGGTGGGCAAGCGTAATTCTTTACTCCTGCCCAATTCTGAGTAAAACAGTCTACTGTCTCTGCCCCCGAGCAGAAATAAAGACTGTTGAATCTCCGGGACTTGCGTTCAAGTGGCTCGCAAATCTGTCCACCTCGAAACTTCACCAAGCTTGCTCTAACTGTGCTACCACATTTGTACTCAAAACCCAATCCTCTTGGTCCAGTACTCTTGTCAACGAATCTGCTGGGTTTAGCCGACTCGGAACCCACCTTGTGTTGAAAATACCAATATCGGCCTCTACACAAATTTGCCTTGCAATGTCCTTTTGCCAATTCATTGGGCCTCCGCTCATTACTGTACTCAATGCGACTCGATTGTTGATACAAAGAGTAACCCACACCCCTTTTAACAACTCCTTGAAAGACTGGAGTGTTCAAAGCACTGCCAACGCCTCTAGCTGTGCTATAACCCTTGAGGTGTGAGGCAAGCCCAACTTCCTGAAGCCTTGTGCTCCTGAAAAATACTGCACTGACTGGTTATTGAAGCATCAATATAAACTATTCTTACTTAGCACGATTTCCAGGCCGGCCGGCCATTCCATCGCCTTAGGTTTAGCACCAACCAACGGATATCCTCGATAGCCTGCTCTGAAAGTCGAATTCAGTTGTCCAACTGCCAGATGAGCCGATTCTTTGAGTCTATCAGCTTGTAGAACTCCATACATTTCACCTGGCTCAGAAGAAAAGCTCTTCCTAAGCTTACTATCTTTCCTGTGACCGAAGCTAGACTCCTTGCCATTACTTCCGGTGCTCCTAACAAAGCTTCTAGGCTTACAACCGTCGAAGCTATTTTTTCTTCTGGTGCAATCACCAGACCATTCAACGTAT